GATAAAATTAAAGCTATAGTTACAATATAATACAAAACCCTCCTACTTCAATCTTGTTCAAAAGCCGTCGAATTATTCATTAATTTCGCGTGTATTGAGATCACATATTGTGACCGTAGATATTCGCATGTCAGATTTCTCGAGAGATATTCAAAAGATCAGAAGCGCAGCTCTTTTAACATAAGAGCTTGAGAACACAAACTGTATTAGATCTATTCCGATCTTATCAATGTATTCAGACCAAGATTGTCGATTGGGCGCCTCAAGCGAGAGAAAATTTGCACACCCTATACATCTCTTACAATATACGCATATTTGCCTTGATTGATAGCTGAACAATTTTGCCTGTTATTATCGGATAAGCAAATAATGCCAGAAGCAATGATTCGAAGAGAAAAGAACGATCCTTGATTTATGCAGGATCTATGTAGGATCAGTTTCTATCCTCCAATTACAGCCAATTACGATGCATTCGTGTGATTTTCGAAAATCACCGTTGCATTCTTAAATTCAATGAACGTCAACGCCTCGAGCTGACGAGCGGATAATAGCAGAACGAGGGAGACTCGTGGCCTAATTGCGCGAGTTCTGTCTGACGTCCGTATCGCGTGGAGAGTTTCAAGATTCCCCTTGCATGCTTAGAAGAGCATAATCGGAAGGATCGCGCAGTTGTTGTAAATTATCGGAAAACATGACTACGTTCCGTGCATTCATTCGTCATTCCCTGCTCCCGGCTAAAATTGGCCCGAAACGATTTCACGTTTCACAAATGTTCACCCAAAGCCTAAATTCTATGCACATAAATAATTTTACATCTACAACAAAAAATCTAAAAAGAACTTTATGTTTCGACGTAATATATTATATAGAATCTAAAGTTTTATAGTTCTGCAAAAAATTCGAAAAGTCTTTTCAATGTTTTTCAGTATCTACTTACTATTTAAATATTATATCGAAAGGCTTTGTAAACGCAATCGCGAAAGATATCCGTGACTTAGCGAAACAGGTAATAAACTCGAAACACTCGTCTATTAATTCACACATTTACGATATTCTGAGAAGTCAGAAATTGCGCGAGCAAAATTACCGTGATAGAATCGATGAAGATTCCTGAAACATGGGCAATTACAATTTTATTATTTATGCGAGAGATATAAAAAAAGCAAAACCGGAAAAAGCAAAAAACTCTAATGAAAATTGACAATTTTCAGATATCTGATATCTAACGGGAAAAAAATTTCTCGAAGCAGTCGTGATCGTGGACACAATATGAAAAAGAATGCGTAGCTAAAAGCCAAGTGAGAATCATTCCATAAACCCGGAAGATTTTTTTCAAGAGCGCACTAATATTTCATCCCAACTTGTCACAATGTTTATGATAATATATAATACCCGAAACTGTATTTTTGGGCATTGACAGTGAAAATAAATTCAAAAGAAACATCTCATAAACGTCGTGTCAGCGAGCGCTTTTGTCGAATGCAAAAAATCTCGAAGGACTAATAACCGTCTGTCATAAACTTCGAGAAAAAACTTGCTCTCAGAAAGAATATTTCGCGATAAAAAAAAAAAAACATACCTACCGTGAACCGTAACACGAAATGTTTGAAAGAATAATTTTTTTTTCAACAAAGCAATAACATGAAAAAAATCACGATTTTTAAACAGAATTTCATAAGACGCGAAAGAATGCTATAATAGATCCTTTAATTCTCGATTCACACGTTTGTGATATCCTAGCGAGAGGAGAAAAGCTAGAAATCGCGCGAGAGAGAAGACAAGGATCGATTTTCTCGATCGACCAACTTCCTGCAACGCGCGGGCAATTACAAGTTTTGTCATACGCGCTGCGAGAAAGGTGCAAGAAAGGCGGAATCGCGGGAGAAAAACCAGAATGAGTAATGCGAGGGTTACGAGCTGGGTGCTGGCGAAATCAGATTATTGCAGCACACTCGATGTGCTTGGATACTACACCACGGAGAACAGAGTACTTTTGCTCGTTGCTCGATCTTTCTTTATTTTTGTCGGGCGCGGTGTAATAAAGTACGGGTGAGCGAGGGAAAAGAGAGGAAGCGGGGAGGGAGAGAGATCCCTAATCTGATATCTGGACGGAAGGGGAGCGAATATTAATGTTCGTTTGCCGCGAGCAAAGCCGATGCCGCCTGCTCGCGAGTGCTTTTATGCGGCCAGCATCGGGCCCCGCCAGGCAATGCCCGGCCACCCCATAAAGCTAATGAGTCACGCCGGGTTCACGAAGGCCGTAGGTCCTGGCTAACAGGTGCCGCTATAACTACCGGGATACTCGCGCGCAAGCACAACGCGTTCATCTCGTACGTTAATCTCGATCCTTTATACTCGGCTGTTTGTATTGCAAAATGCTCGTGCGATCTTTATCAGAGACGCCGAATTGAATTTTCGCCTTTAAAGGATGTAAATCGTACAATGCCGAGCACATTTCAAATGCAGACTATTGAAAATATTTATCTAAATAGTATTTCGTTTAAATAGAATATGTCAAACATGTCATTAGCATGCGGGTTGAAGACTGATGCAGTTGCGTTGCACCCCTTCGCGCTGCATTCGAGGATAATTCATAAACAGCCGGCGTGAAAAAACTACCCGCGTAAATATCTTACATAATTCTTATTCAAATGCAGACTATGGAAAATATTTATTTAAATAGAATTTCGTTTAAAATAGAATATATCGAACATATATTCTCTTCATTAACATGCGCTTAAAATCTGATGCAGTTGCGTTGCATCCCTTTTCGCGTTGCATTCGAGGATAAGAGAATTCATAAACAACCGGTATGAAAATTACCCGAGCATATATCTTACATAACTCTTATCGAAAGTTACAACCTGAGCGATAAAATGATCGTAAGTTTCTTGGCTGAGATACCATTCGTCTATATGCTTCACCGATCGTTAGTTATCGCTCGACCATGAATCGGCGCGATGTTTATTAGAGCTTATCGATATCGTAGTCTTATGTAACCGAGAGCGCGAATGTCACGGGGAAACGATCACTTCGTAAATTTGTAAAATTTATCATAGTGCAAGTTTCGACGAAACCTCGCGAGAGGAGAATAGAATGATCTCGACTGAAAAGATTGCTCCCACGATTACCGCCACGATTGCTCCCACGATATCTACGTGACCCGACGCCGCGGCCCACGATCACGCAGCATCCCGGTGGGGGAAGAACAGCCTGGAGAAGAGGGACGGAGAGTTCGTGGAAGCGCAGTAGGTGCGACGGGTCTTGCTTCTTCGAATGGTCCAGGCTCGTGTCCTCTCGCGCGCGAGAGAGCAGAACGGCGGCACCATACGAGGCGACCGACAAAGGGTCGAGAGAGGGAGAAGAAGAGAGAAAAAGATCGTCAAAGCACGATACGAAACGACGCGACAGGGATGGAGAGAGAGAGAGAGAGAGAGAGATTCAGGAGAAGGAAAAAGAAGACAAGAGAGAGACCGAAGAGAGACAGTGCGCGTGACTTTGTCTACCTGTCTACCTACACACAGAAGGACAAAGGCGTGCCGCCAATCACGTGACCAGGATTCGATGCGGCGTACGACAAAGCTGCGCCGATTGGACCGGTCTGGCTCCCACCATGGGACTTTGTCGAGGATGAGCGTGCCGCGCACGTCGCTTGTATGAATGGTGGGAGTGTATCGTCATTCTACTTCAAGCATTCGAACCGTGCGGGCACGTGACTGTGAACCAGAGCGTGATACAGGGAGATTTGCATGGTGGGTGGTGGTGGTGGTGGCAATTATGAGAGGAAGAGGGATGGGCGATGAAAGATCGAGAAATTTATACGCACTACTGCCGGTGATATATGCAATTGACATTATGTACCCTTTTAGAGAATGCATTCCATCTTTTGCAGTTTGAAGGAGATAGATAATTATTATTATTCTCATCAAAATTTTATAAATTTTTATAGATATTAAAAATTTTAATATCTTGCCAAACACATCAACATTGAAGGCATATTTAAATTTGTGCGATAAAAATGAGTGAGAATGTGTAGTAAAAAATTTCACTTGTCTGAGATAATATCGATTTTACTACTTGATCCTCGTAAAATCCTAGATTAAATGTGCAAATTCTAGATTCACACTGTAAATTACACAATTTAAAATTATAAATAGTAGATGTTATAAATGGCAACTGATTGACGAGAGATTATTGCTCTGAATTAATTGCGTGATACATAAAAATATATTAATCTATTAATCTCGAAGTATAAAATTATACATATTTTAGGGATACATATTTTTTAATTTAATTCAGATTTAAAGCAACAAGATTCGCCAACATTGTGCTTCCATCTACCGGTAGACGCAATCAATTTTTTCACTGGACCAATGATGCTGCAAAAGCTGGCCTGGTCAAGTTATCTTGCCACTGTAGATACGCGAAACTTCTAAATTGTATCGCGTATCTTAGCAAATAATAATTTGAACTTTAAAAAGAATATATCGCGATAGTTAAAAAGTTCCCACTCTCGTTCGCAAACTTGAAAAATTTATCAACAAAGCTGCTGGAGCAAGGACTGCAGATAGATATAATTTTTATCTTCAACAGAGATTATACCAAGAAAAGGCAACGACCATCAAAAGAGTCGAAAAATGTATTGAGCGCGATAATATTTATCGTATATACTATAGTCTATAAGCAAAACTGTTATCAGACAGACATCGCAGTACACATTACTACGTTTGCACAGAGACTAGTTATATCCGGTTTAATCATCCATCGCTCTAATCATAAAGCAAACACAGGGCGTTACATAAGTAAGAACGTCTACCGTCTCTAGCAACTTATTTCCTACCGCGGTTATCATCGTTACAAGTAATAGAGGACTTCCCACGGTTTGTCTAGCTGATCTCTTCGTGCGATAAATCATTCGTAATTTTTTTTTCTTAAAATTTAATTGTAATTACAATTTAAAGACGGCACAGAGAGAGAGAGTCGGGAAAGAAGAGGCAGCGCTAATGAAAGAATGCTAAATGACCGCGATATGACCGTTCGTCACAATATTTGCACGCAAGCATCCGCGAGCCGTCCAAACAGTCAACACACACTGATGTGAAAGATCCGGCGCGAGATCGATGCGGTCGTATTTCAGACGGTGCGTGTATACATTCGCGCGTGTATGTGTGCGCTGACCGAGATAAATACGGTGCCGCGCGTTTAATCGGTCGCCAAGTAGAAAGAGCAATTTCGAAAGGCACGGATACAGGGGTGGAAAAGGAGGGGGCGAGAGGGAGCATGAGGCACGTGCCGGAGCTACGCGCGTGCGTCAGCTCGTTATTCCGTATACACGGTGGTGGCACTCGACTGCTATTTTCGAGGAACGTGATATAAGCTCCGATGACGTTCGCGTATTCCGCGTCGGAATTACCATCCTCGAGCGCGATCAACGTCAGCCGGTTCTAATGACCTTTGTAGACAGCGAGAGACTAATCATGCCCGATCCGTGGAAATGTTACGTCCCATTGTTTCTCGTTCTCTAGGTGCAGCGCAAAGAATTATTCGTCGTACGAGCTTATGTAAACAGCACCGTCATCGCGAATGAATGTATGAATAATAATTTCAGATTAGATGTATTATATCTCGAGAAGGAATTTTACAGACTTGAGAAATGTATAAAATTGCCATTGGTAATAGCTGATGATTTATATAAAAGATTGCTAATTAGCGTAATAATTTACTTGAATGATAGGACGCACAAGAGCGAAATCGAGCGAAGTTGCAAATGAGCGATCGAAAATTCCATTAGAAATCACGGACATCTATCTCATCATCAATAAGGTTCGACCGATTCATGGCTTCGGAGGATCCCGAGGGGGGTCCAAGATCCGCGGTGGTGCGCGCGCCACAGAGGGGCCAAAAGTACCGAAGTCTGGAGTGGGGGTCTTAAAGGGTACCGTCAGAATTCGATGGTAGGAGTAAGCCAGGTTAAAGCGTCACGCGCTAAGTCTCCCCACTCGCGTTGCTCGTTGCTAAACCCCACCACCAAGAACCAGCACTAAGCATTCCATCGGCATGCCACGTTCCGACTGCACGACCAAACCAGAAGACGTTCGCCGCTCGCCGAGTTAGTCGAGCTCCGACACTAGCCGTGAACGGTCGCACTTCGACGGCATTCGACAAAAACCTTTGAGGAAGGGAGTGAACGCAAGTGAACTCCTTCATTGCGTTACACCTCGTCTCACCCTCGACTCGCTATCGAATTTTACATTCGTTACTCTGAAGCTTCGCTTCAACAACTCCGCGCATCGATCAACCCCGTGTTCGAGAAGTGAAGAAGACATCGGGCGCAGCGCACTTGGATTATCAGTGAAGTGATTGACTTGGGTTGAATAGTGCTATCACGCCGATCCGGCGTGTTATTTGACTTGGAAATTTTCTGGATTCAGTGAGATATTGATCATTAAAAAAATTTAATAATGGTGACCGGAGTGGGTGCCACGATGCCGACGGGTGGAGTCACCGTCGGCGCTACGCCGCCCGCGCAACACGTGCCGCCGCAGGAAGCTGGACAGCCTCCGGCACAAACTACTCCGACTACTACAACGACTACGAGAAGATCTGGAGAAAATCGACGGGTTAGTGTCTCATCTCGTTAATATCCAAAAATTTCTTCGTTTCAATCTTTCGTTCTACATCGCGTTATCATTCTCTACACTTGGAATAATTCGAACCGGCGATCGTTTCTCGTAATACGGAAAGAAAATCGTGATTTACATATTATAAAATTAATGTGTATTTATGAGAAAATAATCTTCTCTTCAATTATGATAAATTTACATACTTTATATTTTAAGTACAATCAACTCGGAATAAAATAGAAGCAAATAAAATAACACTTATTTTGTATTTTGCTCTCCTTAAAAGAAGATCAAGTCGCTAAGTTTCAATAATTTTTTAGTCGTCTAATAGTTTAGATAGTTTTAACACATGTATTAATTTTTCTGTAAAGCGAGATAAAATTCAACTGTACGCATTAAAAAGAATAGTATTCTTAAAGTTCCGCCACATCATACAACGATAACGTCTTTCACTTTCGAAATCCCGACTAAATGAATTGGAAACACATCATTATAGAAAAATGTCATTAGATAAACAAAATAAAAAAGAAAAATCAAAAGAAAAAAAGAATGAAAAGACAGAATGTCATTTAAAAAAGACCTAAAATAACAGTTATTGTATCAATCATTTTTAAGCTGTCCATTAGAGAGATTTCTCTAATACTAAACTGAAATTTTTTCTATAGAATATAAATCGTTCTTTCTTTTCAACTCTTTTGACGCGGCACTTTATTATTTTCGGCGCATTCACCGATGTACGTGTTTAACCTTATTCCTGATCGATTAAAATTTTTATATGATTTCCAAATGTTATTTGCGAATATTTCTGTTTACAGAGCAATAAACCCATTATGGAGAAAAGACGTCGAGCCCGTATCAACAGCAGTTTGAACGACCTGAAAACCCTTGTATTGGAATCTATGAAAAAAGACGTAAGTACATATTATCTATTATATATCCTGTCATTATTTAAGTTGGAAAGAATTCTCAGAATATTTCTCAAGAACACAACAGTAAAAACATAAAAAAAATTGTAAATTAAAAAAAATTTTAATATAGAAAATTAATTTGACGAAAACTGTCTTTTGTGCTATCTTCTATATTTTTAATTTTCTATATTTTGTCTATATTTTTATAATTTTACATATTCTATTCGTTCTGTTAATATCTAATCGATCAGATCGTCTAATCGTTTTCTCTCGTTTTTTTTGTTACAGCCGGCAAGACATTCGAAGCTCGAAAAGGCTGATATTTTGGAGCTGACCGTGAAGCATTTGGAAAACCTTCAACGGCAGCAGCTCGCCATGGCTGCCGCGACAGATCCGAACATCCTCAACAAATTTCGCGCCGGTTACACGGAGTGCGCTACCGAAGTTAGCAAGTTTCCCGGTTTGGACGCTTCAGTGAAGCGACGTCTGATGACCCACTTGGCCGCGTGCCTGGGTCCGTCTGAAATCGGTACCAACAACGGCCAAACGACGACTCAACAGTCTGTCCAACCGGCGCCACCGACGACACAATTACAAGTGCATATCCTGCCACAAGTTGACGCAACTCCGCGAATTCAAGCTCAGCAATCAAATGGAATTTTCTTCACCAATGCCAATGTCACCGGCCTGCAAGTGGTTCCGACCAGGTTGCCAAACGGCGACATCGCCCTAGTACTTCCAGCGGGAGCGAAGGCCGCGGGTCCGTCATCACCGTCGTCGTCCCCGGCCCCGAGCTCTCCCTTACCAACTCTGATCCCGATCCCCCAGAGAACTGCCAGCAGAGGATCCGCGTCATCATCGACCTCGTCCGCCAGCTCGACGTCCACGTCAGCGAGGAGTCCGGTGGCGTTCGAGGAACCCCCTGCGTCGTTCCGCGAGCAATCCACCACCTACAGCCCGGCCAGCAGTCACCGAGATGTCGCGACATCCCCGGCGAATGGTTACACCAGTGACCCGGAATTCGATCCACGCGTCTACACTCCTCCTCTCCAGAAACCTCTCGCGCTCGTAATGAGGAAGAGCGTGCTGCCGCCGGTCGAGGACAAACCGTGGAGGCCATGGTAAAAAAAAGGGGAGGGAAAGAAGAAAAGACAACCACGTGCGTGATAAAGTGATATAAATTGTTACGTGTCGATGGTTAAAAATTTGAGAATGTGCTAGATAATTCGACGCGTTGATTTACGCGCCGTGTAAAAAATTCCGCAAAACGGAAAGATGTTCCTCAATAATGTAAATGATTGTAAATGCGCGATCCCGTCCCGTGAACACCGCGAAGTTAGAGGATCTCAGGAAGTTAAAAGACACGAGTTTACTCCTGCGCGAACACGGTCGGCCAGTAGCCAATGAGGCAGCCTTATTAATAGTGCCTTGCGAAAATGATTTATGCATAAAATGAAGAGAAACTAGAATAATAATGCCTTGTGAATATGGTAAATTTTGGTATGTCAGAAATGATCGTATGGTTTCTCCGAAGTATCGTGAATTTAATTTTTACAAATTATATTATCGTGAATTTAATTTTTTTTGTCTTATCTCGCATCGTTTCTTCTCAGTCTCTTTATCTCCCCCGATCCTCTTTCTCTCTGTATATAAGTTATATAAATATTAATATTTTAAGTGCCTTATGCAACAAGAATCACCGAAGTCTTCCATTCTGTTTCTTGTACGTAAAATACTAGACGATTTGTAGTATATCGTTGTAAGTACGAAAAGAATGTTCTTAGTTATTACAATATTTTTAAGTTTTTTTTTCCATTCATTCTCTGGTCTTGTTGGGATCCCGAGAGTTGAAAGATCACTTGCACATTACTTCCGGGATCCCGAGGAAAAAAATGTCATGATAGACAAATGACAACAGTCTTATCAATACATTGTCTTTGATTAGAGAAGTGTTAAACTTCTCTCTTTTCATATAATTTTGAATTTAAGATTATTTTTAAGTTATTTAACGCGACTTCTTACTCATTTTTTAAATTAAGGAATCGCGTGAATGTACGAATGTGTATATATGAGGCCTAATTGCGAAAGAACGTTATTTATATTTATACGAATGCAAAGAGGTTATATTTATAATTCCTCTCTATCATGAGAATAGACAACGGACGCTTACTATTGCAACAAGAGTATCAAATAAATGTTGATCTCTTAACTCAAACAAAATATCTGTGTTGTTCGTATTATATTGAACCAATTCCTCACATTCCACTTTCTCCTTATAAATTAAATTATCAAATATATATGTTTAAATTATTATTATTCTCATTATTATTTTTATTATTATTGTCATTAATTATTATGTGTGTTTAAATATATATGTATATCTTTCTCATTTCATTTAATCTAACCAAATATAATTACGCGCGCAAAGCAAAGTTATATTATTCTTTAATATTAAAATCTTAAAAATTACAAAGCATGTATAAAAATATATTAATTAATAACGCAATGCATACAAATATTTAAATCTTTAACAGAAAATGCAAACAAAAAATAAAAAACAACGATGTCGCCGACCGTCGGCGAAACTTAACTTCACGGTCTAGAATGAAACGAGCTCCGACTCAAAATCTCTCTTTCTATCTTTGTCATTAAACTATAGCGGCGTCCTATACGCCCGCTGCGCTGCATGTCTCGCACGACACTGATCCCCACTACTGACTGCAAGACTCCTGTGACGTCAGCGGCTCGGCGCCTGTCGAGTCGAGAATCGAGGCCTACCTTCGTTAGTCAAGAATGAACCGAGCTCGGCGCAGCATCTCGTCTGACCGGTCCCAAAACTTCTCCCTTTCTATCCTCTGGAAGTACCTTGCCAGAACCTGCTGCCTCCTATTGAGGTTTAGCCGAACACTTTAAGGCCCTTGCAGGACCTTAAGGGACCCGAATTTTTCTCTCATTCGGTAACAAAGATTAATATATAATTTATTCCCATTAAGTTGCGCATTATAAATAAAAAAAAAGTATTTTATATTCTCTCTTTTTGTATTTGACAAAAATATCTAAATTTTTTCATCAAAAGGACAATTTATTAATCGATTATGACGAAAAAAATTATTCTTGATATTTATCAAAGATTCGTAAATCGATTGATTGTGTAGAATTAAATAATTGTTTCAAGAAATAAAATCTATTAAAAAGAATGTGCATTTTTATCATTAAAAGGGCTACAATTTATTAATCGATTACGAGAAAAATTATTCTTGATATTTATCAGAGATTCGTAAAACGATTGATTATATAGAAATTAATTATTGTTCCAAGAAATAAAGTCTAATTAAAAAAATGTGGATTATTGAACGCTATACTGACAATGAATCTAATTTCTTAATTAAACTAGACAAGATTGATGATTATCGTGTGCGCTTTCTCTAGTTAAATATTAGTAATTTTCCAACAAGCAGTCAACACTTACAGAATCGATAGAGTTTAAAGTAGATAAAACTGTCTTCGCGTGCAAATATATCCGAAGTTACAAAATATGCTTAAATATTATACCTGATGGTCACGTACAATTCGTTCGTTTGTATAAATTTTTGTAACTGCACTGAAAATGCATCCCTAAATGTTTATAAAATTATTTAATCCTTGATCTATATATATTCTACGTAAGAAAGCATTACATTACCGAAAGAAATATTTGCCTTTTTGGAAACGTTGCAAGAAATGTACATTACCGAATGATCTTCGCGAAAATCGCGAAAGCCTAAATTACGATAATGTTCTCCTCTGCAGGCAATAGCATTCCTGGTATAGCAATTTGTGAGGGAGAAGCAGAGTGCAGGACCACGACGCCGCACGCAAAACATGCCGAATGACAAATTGCATAGTATCTTTCTTTCTCTTCCATGGTATTCTCGACGTAAGTCGCCACTTGTAGGCCGCGTGAGATGCCTTTACCATTTCAAGTTAGTTCTTATGAGCGGTGGAAGCTTCGTATTAATAATTTTATGCGGACAAAAAACATGTCGACAAAAAGAAAGAATAAGGGGTATTCTCAAAATTACAAGCCGGATTCACCAATAAAAAAATATTAAGAATAATATGCTATCCAAATTATCAAAACTTGACAAAATGTTGCAATTTATATTTAGCTACATTTGACGTAATTTTACATTAATAGTTTATATCAGCTGTAATTGATTAATATGTAAAAGAAATCATCACGCCATTGGTTTTATTTCATATTTCTCGATTTCGATCAATTACAAATCCGGACGGCGGATCTAACACATACATTTATGGAATCATATTTATCTGACCGTTCGTTATCTGTGATTACATAAACGTTCCGATAAACAGGTCGTACAAGATATCCTCGCGCGAGATACGTCTGCATATATTTCTCAAGTAGAAAGAAAAATTTGACCCCCACCAGACACGACGGCGCACGCGAAGACTCACGATGATGAGCCATCTTTAGATGGGCACAAATTTCACCATCCTATAATCATGCACATCTATTTTTTGCCGCCTTCGGACGACTAGGCCTTAATGGTTATTAGGATATGACAATTGCCGAGCATTGCTGCACTCGAGTGATTTAATTATATCAAATCCCTTTTCTCCTGCAACTAATCTCGTATATTACGCGTTATTTGGAGTCGCGCCAAAAAATGCATTCCTCCACGGTCGGGACGGTCTGTCCCCTTTCGGCGAAAAGAATTATCATAATGCGCTCATTAATCTCACGACGAAAGGAACGAGGCGAAAGAGATGAGTTGCGCGAAGCTGGATATAATCGAAGTTCTCAGGGAATTTCTTGCTCGCTGGTCGTGATTTTGCGTTATCTCCGCATTAGGAAATTCCCGACCGCTCGCGCTCGTCTGCATTAAACGAACGTCATATATGCTCGCCGACTGTATACGTTGATATTTTGCGACGAACGATCGCGAGACGACGCGAGGCGAAGGCCGCGCGTGACACGGAATCATTATAATTCACGATAATTCACTCATGTGGTCGTAAAGGTTAATTGCCAAGCGTAAGAAAATAAAGTCGCGTCTTTTTGCAACTTTCTCTTATCATGGTGCCTGCTATCTTCTTCAGATAAATTTTAATTTAAAGTATCTTGCGATACGCTAACACATACAGATAAGTCATTTCAGTAAGATATAATTGAGACGAAAATACCACTTAAATTTTTTTATTACATTCAATATCACAGTAGTTTGCGTCTAAATATAACATATACATGTAACACATCGAATTTATACTGTTAACCGCGCGGTATTTCTCGAGAAAGCTACACGTATTTAATCATAGTCCGAAATCCGATGGCATCCGGTTCGCAAGAGAGACTTCGGAACTCGGATCTTTCCCGGAGCGAATCTCTCTGGGAATCCTCCAATCGTCCGACAATCAGCTGATTCCTAGAACCTCGTGAGCGCACGTTTGTTAGCCCGTCGCTCCGGCTTAGCTCGGTCGCGGTCGCGTGGTTTCAAGGACACGACAAGGTTGACACGCGCCGCCACTCACAGACGACTAGTGAGTGGTCCCCGATCTCGCTTGCGCTAATCGACGTGTTCTCTGTCTTTCGCACAAGCGTCGCAGCATCGCCTGGTAATGCTGCCAAGCTTAAACACCGACTTCGCGCCATTCGATGCCAGAATTTCGAGTGTCGGCTCGAAGCATCCTCTCGAGCAATTTAATATCTCCATTACAATGTACGCGGTGTCTCTTAAAGTTGTCAATTTTACATGTCATTATTTTTCAGCGAGATATAATTCGACATACGCATTAGGTTAATTTAAAAAAATATTTTTATCAATTCGCAAAAGTGTTTAATCACAATTATCGGCGATAAAGCGCGACATTTGCACGATCGTTTGCCTGCCGTCTCACGTTTTCGATGGTCCCAAACTTTTTTTGAGCCATTCAGGTATACTAAGCATCCTCAAGCGGCGCTTCGAAAGCGCGGCTCCGTGTAATGGACCGTGGGCCCTTTCGCGGCATCCGAAAAAGAAGTTTGGCATTTTTGGACGTTCCACGTGTCCGGAGAACGCGCGGCACGACAATCGCGATTTCTTTTTCGCTTGCGTTCAAAACTACGTTTCAAACTATGCACGTAATCTGCAGTATAAGATCGCAGTTTTTGGCCTAGCCGAAATACTTTCGATATATATTTTCGCCGGAATATTTTTTTGTGCAGAATAAAGGCCATGGCATTATTTATTGCTAGAGAAAAATCGATGTGTGCGACATGTGCACTGACTAATAATTAATTAATCTAAAATCTACATATACGTAGGTTTTTCAATCGATGGGGTTTTGTATTTCGAGAGTGCTTATATACGAGACTGCCAGACGCTTACGCGAACACTTACCGGGCCAGACGCTGAATAATCAACAACCAATTCGACGAAGGATTTGAATATCCGGAATTGCCTGAAGCAGCTGTTGTTTGCGCGAAGAAATTAACGACGCTGCTAGTTTCCAGATACCAACGTCAGCGGTCTTGACCTATAAACGTGAGAAATGTAATCCGAAGATTCTCACCCGTTGCGCTTCCGCGCAAACGTGAGTCTTTTTGCTCGCGGAATTACATAAATATTTTTTCTAATAAGGTACATTCATCATCTACACTACGTACACTAATGTTACGCTCTTATCGGCTTTTATTGAGTCGCGACTGCTAGTCTGAACACTTTGTCATGCGATTCTTCGAACGACGGCGGATTGCGACAACACGTGCATAAGTCGCGCATTCATTGTCCCCTTGTAATCTGGTGTCGGCGGTATTGAACACGCGAATGGCAGCAATGCGATCTACGCTAGTCATGCTCGGCCATTGTTATCGCGAGCTTACTAGCGTGAAACGGTCGTCCGGAGAACCTTGCTCATCGCGTGTAATCTGACATTTACATATTCTCGAGTAATAGATCGAGACACGTTTCACATGCGCTTACTTGCCGTAAGCCTAATCACCGATATCGGCAATTTCATCGTCCAAATGTCATTCCAACATGCGGAATAAATTTGAAAGAGGATTTCGACGAGAGAGGAAACAAAGTTATATATTTCGATATTCCGCTATAGAGAATGAGTTCTCTCTCTTCGCGATTGAGTTATCGAGCGAATCTCAAGTTCTCATATCCACGCGCCGTCAGCTGATCGATTCGTGTTCATATTCATCAATTCATTAATCACTTTATTATCGCCGTGAC